CGCTGAAGTCCGCACTGTGAAAGCTCCTTAGAGGGGCACCTGGGTGGCTCAGTCAGTGAAGTATCTGACTCGTGATTTCTGGTCAGGTCGGGATCTCAGGATCGTGATGTTGAGCCTGCGGCAGGCTCTGCGCTCGGTGGGGAGTCTGCTGGAGATTCTCCTCTCCCTCTCCCTCTGTCCCTCTGCCTGCTTGCTTGTACGCATGTGCGCTCCTTCGCTCAGGGCCCAGGGCCGCGGGGTGGGCCAGCACAGTGTGTGCCTCATGGGGAGGGAAGCCCTGAGCGCCTGGCTTCTGGGGGTATTCTGGGAGTGGTTCCATGGGCAGTTAGCCTCACCCCTGCTCTGCAGAGTGGGACACAGAACTTGGCGGTCCTAGTGTCGGGCTTCCGGTCACGGGGCCCCGGCGTCACAGCTTCAGCACATGGGGGTTTGTCCTGAGCTCCGGTGATGACAGGCTCCCCTGTGTCCCACTCTCTCCTTCCTTAGCATGTGGCCTTTGTCTTCATGGTCACAGAATGGCTGTCCCACCTGCAGCCAGCAGGACCAAGGCAGCAGAGACTTTCCGTTGAGCTGGAAAGGGAAACCCTCCCCAGCAGACTTCACCGGAGTCCTTCTGGCCAGAATTCGGTCGCACAGCCACCCCCACTGCAGGGGAGGCTGGGTAAATGAGACTGGCCAGGAGCCCTCAACAGCACTCTGGTTCTGCTGTGTCAGGGCAGGGCGGGGGGATGGCTTTGGGGCATGCATTAGCCAGGGTGCCCCCAGCTGCACAGCACCCACATAAACGCGCAAGACACAGGTAAACTTCTAGGAGTTTCTCCTTGTGTTTTGGTAAAGCCGCTAATGGACACTACTCTTGGGGATAGGTGTTGCCAAACTAGGAACATGTGCAGATGTTTTAGATTGGGTTGAGCTTTTTTAATTTGTGGGAATTCAATTTTTTTTTCAAATTTTTACTTAAATTGTAGTTAATTTTTTTTAATCTTGTGGGAATTTAAAGATCTTTTTGAGTTGACAGGCGTCCTGCTACACCATGTGTTCACAAGGGGTCATGATCAGTCAGGTGAACAGGGCTGAGGTGAGGCACCAGGTCTGTGGTCTTGGGTGGCCCCCAGGGTGACTCAAACTTTGGGCCACAGTTTTTTTCTAAAATGGGGAGAGACCCTATTTTCCCTTTCCAGTCAAAAAATCATCTGATCAAAATGACCCCGAACAGATGCTCCCCAGAGTCAGTTCTTCGTCATGGCTAAATGCCTTTCCAAGCATGGGGGGTGTGGCGGGTCCTGGGCCTGGAGGGCTGCGGGTGGGGTCCCTCCTGCAAACTGGCAGACGCGCGGGGAGCCTTGTTCATCTGCACTTGCGCGTCCTGTCTGCAGGGCCCGTGAGCGGGAAGGGCTGTATGCGACCGCTTCGTTCCTTTTGCTTGACAGACCCAGCCGAGGGCCTCTCGATCAGCACGGTTGAGAGCCGGGCCGTGCTCTCCTTAGCCAGTGAAGTCTTTGGAAACAGGTGGTTGGAGGCGGCCACCGTCATGTCTGTGGGGCTGTCCGGCTGGGCCGGCAGGCTGCTCACCACATGGTCCTGTGCCGCCACCCCTTCTCCAGGCAAATGCTGTTTCCTGTAGCAGAGGAATTCCAGGAGTGTCTTGAGAAACAGCCCCCCTTTTGAAACAAGCCCGTCTCCGCCTCTGCGGGTTCTTTGCTCATCTCCAGAGAGCAGGGCGCTTGTATGGATGGTTGGTGTTCAAAAGTGGCCTCCTTCTTCACGCCGTCCTTCTGTGCCCTCCGGTGAAAGCCAGCGAGCGCGGCTCCGGAAAGTCGGTGGAGACGGTGCCCACAGCGGCTCGGATGGTGTCACTGGCGCCAGTGGCCTGAGCATGAGTGACGAGAGAGAGTTGTCAGGGGCCGGGCAGAGGGAGAGCCCCTGGGCAGAGGAGGAGACGCTGCCTGGCTGAGAAAGTGGGTCTTTATCCTTGTCTCTTTCAGACCAAACCAGAAACCCAGATTGCGGATTCAGAAACGGCAAATTATTTTTGTAACGTAGTAATGCCGGTGGTCATTTGGGGAGATCTGAATGAGGTCCTTTGAGAGACCTTCTCTCCCCCCACGAGGCTCCTTTGCTCATAGGCTCTCAAGCAGACCCCTCAAACTTGTTGCCAGATCGGGTGGAGGTTGGGGGGGCACAGCGGCCCCCCTGCTGTTGCTGATGGCCCGTGCACCCTTGTCTGCCCAGGTGGGAGCTGGGGACCTGGATGGCTTCCAGGCGGACACGGAGGAGGAGGAAGAGGAGGACGGTGACTGTGTGATCCTGGACATCTCGGGTGTTGGGGGTGAGAGCCTGGCAGGAAAGGACGGACGCACGCGCGCTCGCTCCACGCGCCTCCCATCTGTAAAGAGTGGGGCTGAGTTAAGAGACCCCAAGAGGCGCTGGGCGGGCTGGGTGGGTGTGGACGGTGGGTTCTGGTCCAAGGTCTGCAGGATCTGAGTTCTCTGAAAGCTGCCGTGTGCACAGCAGGACTGGACTCAGTAGCCATGGCAGAGATAGGTGCAGTAATGGGCCAGCAGTTGGGATGCTGACCACATCGGGGCGCTGTTCCAGAAGCTTCCCAGAGAATCTTTCGGCAGTGCTGCACCTGCAGTGCCAACCCCTGGGCTGAGTCCCAGGAGGGGAGTGGTGGAGTCTTAGGGTGTAGTCTTGGCTCTACTGTAGAAGGGGCTCAGTCAGGGAGACCTAAGGAGGGGGCGGGGAGCCGAGTGGGCAGCGGGGGAGGCCAACATTTGACTCTTTACCGAGTGAGCTGAGGAGGGGACAGGCTCTGAGGGCTGTGAGTGAGTGTAGCTGTCTGAAGGGGGGCAGAGGGGTGGGGGGGCCAGTGACTCGGGCCCCTACCCAGTCGGGGGGTGCAGCCCGCTAAAGCCGCCTCCCTCTCTTGCCTTGCAGAGGCTCCGGCCCCGTGTGGAACCACTTCTGGAGCCGGGGGGTCCATGGGAATGGACACCAGTGAGAGCCCCGTGCCCGCCCGCTCGCTCGGCCCCTGCTGAGTGCCCCGCCGGCCCAGTGTGTGTAGGTAGAATGGTTAGGGCATTCACAAACGCCTCTTGGATACTTGAAAGTCCTACGAGTCCTGTGTAAAGAGCACTTTGTCCTGCTTCGCAGGCCTCCCCGGAGGTCTGGAAAGTTTTATAGAGGATGCTTGATTTGTTCCTTTTGATATTTGTAAAAATTTTCCCCCCAAAAGCTGCATATTAACCTGCCCTTTAATAAAGCATTATTGCGATGTGAGGACCTGTACAGGGACAGCCTGGTCGCGCCTCCCCAAGCAGGTGCTGTGATGAAATGCTTGTAAATGAGTTGGACCTGAAGTGGGTGTGTATAAACTTATTGTCCAGCCCTGACCCGGTGTGTCTGTTGTCTTTTCAAACATCGTTTCTTGTGAGTGGGTACGTTCCATCCCCTGGGCTGGCTGCACCCCCCCCCCGGGGGCTGGCGGGTGTGCACTCCCCTACCTCGTGCATGGCTCTGTCATTTGTATAAAGGGTCACACCTTGCAGAAGCACTGTCCCCACCTCTACGGTCTCTACGCTGACCTAGTATAAGGTGACAGCTTCCGGAAGGTGCTTCTGCTGGTCTATCCCTCCTGCCCATCTGTGGGCCCCTGTGCCCTGGAGCAGCCCTGTGTTGGGGCTGTGAGCGGCCCCACAGAGGCATCAGAGCACATCAGGGGCCTGGGGGCATTGAGATTTTGGCAGAGCTCATGGACTCCATTTAACCCGGACGCCTGGTCCCTCTGTCGAGTTCTTTCTGTTCCTGCTGCCCCCCCCGCCCCCCCACCCTGGAGTGTTCAGCATCCACTGGATTCGGCCAAGACCGGGTGACCCCACCCCACCCCCACGGCACTCGAAGGCCAGGACTCCCCGCAGGAGGCGGGGTGCAGGCGCACCCGAATACAGGTGTGTGTGCTGCATCTTTGGACGGGGCTACCTCAGCCAGTCGGGTCCCCTGCAACCCATTTTAGTTGGCCCCCTGACAACTTGCAGTCAATGCCAAGTCACAGTTGGGCACCGAGATGGGGCAGCAGAGGACAGGCCCCAGTCTTGCCTTGTGTGGGGACAGAGCAGCTGGTGGCCCAGGTGGGAAGCAAAGGCGTGTGGAGGGGCTACTTGCTGGCTGAGGGGGGGCGGCTACAAGGCATTTTTGGTTTTGAAATCACATTTGGGGCTCAAAGCTTCAAGTCTGTCCACCACTGAGCTGGCGGTGGCCAGAGGACCAGCCAGTACAGGCTCTGTGCACAGGGTGCACAGGAAAAGAGGGTCTGGAAGGGACTGGCCTGGGGGGAGAGGTGGGGACAGTCCAGATGAGCGGTCAAGGGCCTCTCCGTTGGGGCGTGCCCAGGGCCAGTGCCTCCCGTGCTCCAGGCTCAGCTTCCCTGTTACTTCCTGTGGCTGCGGATACACACCACCACGAACTTGGCTTAAAACCAAACTTGTTTTTATGGTTCTGGGAGTCAAAAGTCTGACGTGGGCCTCGTGAGTTAGAAACCAAGGTGTGGGCAGGGCCAGTTCCTTCCGGAAGCCCTGGAGGGGGGACCACCTGCCTGCCTTTTGCAGCTTCCAGAGGTGCCCGTGTGGACTTGGGGCCCCTCCTCCACCTTTGACCCCTGCAGCTTGGCATCTTCTGCCTCCTTCCACCCCCTTCCAGGCGTGACACCGGGCCCACCTGCCTGCCCAGGACACTCCCCATCTGGGTATCACCAATCACAGGCACAGCCCCTTTAGTCCTATAAAGTAACCACCACAGGGACCGGGGCTGAGGATGGGCCATCTGTGGAGACCTTGTTCTGCGCCCCCCGCCACCCCCAGGAAGACAGCTCTCTGGGAGGCCCGCCCTCAGCAGGTGCCCACCTGACCTCACCCCCCGGGAGCCACACACGGGCCTCCTGTGCCGGCAGCCCTGCAGCCACTGCCCCTGCCCTGCATGGCACAGCTTCAACTCACCAGGAGACTAGTCTGACGTTTATTTGGGTTCATAATTCAGTAATCACAGAACCGTGTCCTGACAGGCCCGCATCTCCCTCTGCCGCTGTCCCCAGCAACCCCGTGGCTCAGCGTTAGGGCCAGCCGCGGCCATCTGGGCCACAGCACACAGGGACTGGGCCCGTGCCACAGGCCTACTCTCCTGCCCAGGGCCTCCGTGAACAGGTACGGCGGCTGTGTCCTGACAGCCCTCTCCAGGTGGCCATCCCAGGCACATGTCGCAGCCGACCAGCCCCCTCCCTGTGCCCGCAGTGCTCTGTGGGCCAGGGCGGGCAGTTCCGGAGGAGCGGGGCACCCTGGGAGGGAGGAGACAGGGTGGGGGGGGGTAGTGGTGGAGGAAGCAGGAGAGCATGAGACAAACCCACGTGGGCTAAAGCCGACCCTGCTTTTATTTCACGAGAGCTTCTCAATGGCTGCCAGGAGCTCAGGTTTCAGAATAGATGAGTCCGGTTCGGCCCCGGCGGCCCTGATGTCCTCTAGCACTGCTGCGTCCCACGAGAAGGTCAGGAGGGCCGAGGGCACCTGCAGTGGGGCGAGAAGCCTCAGCCCCACTCCGGCCTTTATGTGGTGGAGTCTTCACGCTCATTCCCTCGTGCTGGAGCCGGGGCCACACTCGCCCTGGGCAGCTCCCCACCAGTGACCGCACCCACCACAATCAGCCCATTCCCGCGGGCTGGCGAACAGCCCAGCCAGCGGCCGTCCCTCCAGTCTTCCCGAGGGAGGGTCTGAGCACCCCTCCCCAACCCCAGTTAAGTCCCTCATCTCCGATCCATCTGCCTTGGTTCTGCTCTGCAGAGAACTCTAACACGCCTGCCGTGTTCCCACTCTCTAGGTGGAAACCGAGGCAGAGACACGGCACTTGGGGGCATGCCGCACGTACGTGGGAAGGTGGGACTTGAACCCAGGGCCCCGGCCCCCACGCCGCCCACCGCTGAAAGTGGCCGCCCTCTCGGGGAGTTTGTGCAGGGCAGGGAAACCCAGAGATGCTCCCCCGCCACCCCCAACCCCATGCAGGGAGCCCGTCACTCACCAGCCCGCACTCGTTGAAGGCCAGGCTCTGGTCCTCCGACAACCTCTGCCCGCCCGAGGCCAGCAGGTCGAAAGGCAGCCAGTCGCTCTGCAAGGCCTCCCGGACGAATGCGTACAGGGCGGCCACCCGCTCCCGGGCATAGAAGGTCCCTGGGTGGGGCAGGACAGTCAGTGGGGCTGTGGTCCACAGGTGCACCCCCCGGGAGCACCCCAGGGCCTACCCCCTCCTCCTGCCACAGCGCCGGCCCCGCGGGCACCCACCCTGGAGGAGGCAGCCGTCGGGGAGGCGGACGCGCAGCAGCGTGTAGGTGTACTTGCGCATCTCCCTCTGCTCCTCCCGCTCCCGCATGGCCTTGGTCCGCAGCACGCTCAGCCGCTCCACGGCCTCGGACCTGAGCCTCTGTTCCCGCTTGATCTCCTCTGCCGTGAGGTTGAAGAAGTCCCCGGGCAGGTCAAACTGGGAGGCCATGGGCGAGGGTCGGAAGACCCGGCGCTGGCGGGCCAGTGTGGCCCGCACGGGCTCGGCGACCAGCAGCTGCTCCTTGTGCCTCTGCAGGCTCTGGGGCTGGGCCAGGGCGGCCTCGCTCAGCACGTAGAACTCATCGGGGCCCTCTGGGGCACGCACAGAGGTCACTCTGCTGCCGCAGGGAGAGGCCCCCACCCTGCTCTCCTCTTCCCAGCACAGCCAAGACCCTGCTCTACCTCCCTTACCCTGATCGGGAACCGGAAGCAGCGCCTTCTGGAAACCAATGGCCTCAAAAAACTCGTGGGTCCCTTCCAGGCAGTTAATGCGCTCCTGCAGGAGTGGAGCCAGAGGTCACAGAAGGCCCTGGGGCCTCTGGGAGGCCACCAGCCTCGCTGACCACCCTGCCCGGCTCCGAGTTCCCTGGTGTTGGAGCAACTGCTAACAGGGTGAACCCGCTGAAGCCGTCCCCAGAGCGGAGCACGCTCGCCCCCACACAGGCTGCAGGGCCTCCACCAGCGGCCCGCGGAGGTCACCAAGCGGGTGAAGAAAGAGGCTGAAGAGCCAAAGGACAACAGGAGGGTCCAGAGGTGGGGGAGACCAGCTGCATGTGATGCTGGGGGCAGGAAGGGGGCAGGCGGCGTCCACGGCCACCAGGGGATAGCGGGCGCCCTGCCAGTAGCACAGCTAACACGGGCCATGGTGGCGGGATCCTGAGGTTTCTCCACAGAAACCCCAAGTCTGCGTTTATGGGAGAAACCTCACCAGTGACGACGGCTTCCCAAAGCATTCAAATTAAAGTCAAAACCCGCTGGAGGTGGTGGGGAGAGCAGACAAAATACACGGTATGCACGACTTGTGTTCACAAGGCCCCGGTTCCCTGTCCGCCTCCGGCCGCCCACCCCACCCCACCCCACCGTCCCTGGAGGAGCCCTCCAGCTGCCCGATTCTGGCCCCCCTGGCCGCGGTGAGCTGCCTCCCCGCCGCACGGGGTGCCGTGCGTGCATGTGCGTGCGTGCGCAGGGCCCGGCCACACTGGCCGCCCGGGGCAGCCTCACCTGGAACACTCTGTTCTGCAGCTTGATCTTCCTGTACTTCTCCTCCTCGGGGTGCAGGCAGATGTTGTCCAGGTACCTGGGGTGGAACGGCAAGCAGCAGCTGAAGAGTCCTACCTGGCCTCATGGTGACAGGGACCCCAGAGGGGCGCCATCGCACCTTGGCTGCCCCACGAAGCCCACCCCCTGGTGCTGACAGCCCCCACTGCTGCCCCTGACACAGCCCACCGGGGGACCAACCCCGGGCCTCCTCCTTGGTCCTGCCTCCCCTGAGGGCACCAACCCACACAGCAGTGGGGTGCAGCAGACAGAGCCAGAATAACGGACCACTAAAGCCTCTGGGTCCCCAGCAGCTCGTGAGCTGCACGGACTTCCTGGCATCCTTCCTCCCCCAGGCCTGTTCGAACAGAGGAGGGGAGTGGGGTGGTACCCTGCCTCCTTCACGCATTCCTTTGATGATCCCGAAGGAAAGCCAGGCTCGGGACCCCCTGATTTGGTAAACCCCTTCATTTTACAGACAGGTAAACTGAGGCCCAGAGAAGCCAAGCCCCTTTTCTGAGGGCTCGGGGGGGGGGGCACAGGGTGGGGCCTGGCTGCACTCCCAGCGCTGTGTTCCTTCCAGACTCTCCCAGCAGGTTGTGGTGGGGGTTGGGGGGGGCGACACCCTGGTGGGAGGGCAGCTGTCTGCTCACTTGGCAATGGTGTCCACACCCAGCTTCACCCTGTCCCGGTCTCTGTTGAACGTGTGGATCTTCATGATGGAGGCAGCCACAGGGTCGGTGGAGAAGTGCTGGGAGGAGGGAGGGAAATGTATCAGCCACCCCCCCTTCCTCCCCCCAGCAGCCCGGTCTCACCGCTCAGGTGACATCGGTGACAACGGTCCCCTGGCAGGCCAGGAGCGTTTCCCTGAAACACACGCAACCGTGCGTTCTCAGCAAAGGAAGAGAAGGAGAGAGCCCTTCAGTGGCTTGGGCCTCATCCTGCCCCCACCTCTAGGGAAGAGGGGCCATCACACGCCAGATGATGCCCAGTTTCCCAGTTTAGTTGCCGGGGGCGGGGGGGACACAGAGGGCAACACAGAGAAAGCAGTCTGCAGAGGGGAGGCGCACACACAGCCGGAGGGGCATGTTCTCAAGACGCGGCCAGGCCAGGCCTGAGTGTCCTCCCAGCCTCCTCAGGAACCACCACAGCCCCCCGGGGGGAGAGCTGCTGCCCCAAAGGCTGCTCTCAGGTGTTTCCAGGAGACCTGTGGCCACGTTTAAATCAGGACCAGGGCCCGAGAGCAGACAAGGGACAAAGGAGCAGAACGTCCAGAAAGGACCCAAATCCGTACAGAAATGTGCTTTGTTATAAAGGCAGATTTCACAACTATGACCAAGAAGCAGGTGTTTTCAATAAAAGGGGGTGTCGGGGGGGGAGGAGAAGCGAGGTAGCTATCAGGAAAAAAATAGCACTGGCTTCATGCCTCATGCTCTACAGGGTGATAGCTTCTAGTTGGATTGAAGTGGTTTTTATGGTTTTTTTGGATCAAAGTTTTAAACATTAAATTACAAAACGCAAAACAGAAAGGCACTAGAAAAACCATGGAAAAATCATTTTAATTCCAAAGTGAGGAAGGCCTTTCTCAGTGTGCCACAAAACCCAGAAGCCATAGGACCAACACGTTTAATCATAAAGATCAAAAACCTCTATGCAGCAAAGCGACCATGAGCACAAACCAAAAATGAAAAACTAGGGGAAAATATTCACAATTCACGTTATAGGCAAAAGACCGATTTCCCTAATATGCAAAGAGTGCCTACAAATCAACTTCAGAAAAAGTCCAGGGGCACCTGGGGGGCTCAGTCGGTTAAGCGTCCAATTCTTGGTCTCAGTTCAGGTCTTGATGTCAGGGTTGTGGGATCGCCTGCACTGGGCTCTACGCTGGGCATGGAGCCTTTTTTTTTTTTTTTTAAGATTTATTTATTTGAGAGAGAGAAAGAGAGAGCGGGCGCACACAGAGGGAGAGGGAGAGGGAGCAGCAGACTCTCCGCTGAGCAGGGAGCCCAGTGTGGGGCTGGATCCCAGGACCCCAGGATCATGACGTGAGCCGAAGGCACACGCTTAACGACTGAGCCACCCAGGCGCCCCAGGCATGGAGCCTACCTAAAACATCCATCCATCCATCCATCCATCCATGCATCCATACGTACATAAAAAGCCCCACTACCCGACAGAAAAATGAGCAAAGGATGCATTCTCATAGGAAAGCGTGGCCAATCTGAACCCAAATGAAGGAAATACACGATAAAACTATCTCGAGGTATTTCCACCTACCAATTCGGGTGAAGACAAAGAGTCTGCACACCCCAAGGATGGTGTGGGCACCATGATGCGGTGGAGCGTGAACCCCTGGAGGTGCAGCAGCCGCCGCTGCCCACGCCGCACACACGCATCCACCCAGCGCTCCCGCCCGCCCCGGGACTGAGCCCAGCGCTCAGAGAAACGTGCGGCCCAGGCTCTGCGTCCCGTCCGCGTTCCCACCAGTAAAAGACGCACTCCCAGCATGCTCCTCGGCAAGGAGCTGGCTAAACGGCTACGGGACTTATGGCGAAGTCGTTAACGACGCAGAACTTTCTCTCAGATGGTTCAGAAAAAACTAGAAAGGGGTGAGAGAGCAAATGGGGAGAAACGTTAACACCTGGGAACTCGGGGTAAGGGGCAACAGATGCCCTTGTCCTCACCCCTCGGTCTTGCCAGTATGTTCAGTTAACACAGGAGGAGGGCAGTAAGGAGGCAGGTGGAGTTAAGGCTGCTCATCAGCAGGCCTTAAAATAGGGAGATTAGCCTGGATTACCCTGGTGGGTGAAGCGTAATGTCGAGGTCCCTTCAAGGGGAAGAGAGAAGAGAGGCGGCCTGAGAAAGGCCGGGGCCGGGCGCGCGGGCTGTGAGGAGGGATGGAGACACGGGGGACAGCCTGGAAGCTGGACAAGGCCAGGCCGCGTTCTCCCCTGGAGCGTCCAGAAGGAACTCAGGCCCGCTGCCACCTTGATTTAAGCCCAGTCGGACCCGCACCATGCTCCTAGCTTCCAGAACCGGGAAGGAATGGTGGGGGCTGGGGGGTGGGCAATACCCTGGTGGGAGGGCAGCCGCCGTTTGAAGTAGTTTGAAGACACCAGCTTCGTCAGAGTTTGTTACACCGGGGACAGGAAACTCGGACCCTGGGCTCGGGGGTTTGACGGCTGTACCTATTTGGAACCTCTCTCTGGAAAGGGTCCGAAACCATGTAGAGTGGTCACCTCCAGGAAGGGTGGCTTTTCTCCACCTACACTGGTGCATTTGAATTTCGTACCCCACAAACGCACTGCCTCTTCAAAAAGACGACAGCAGACACCGTCCACACAGGCAGAGGTGTCACCGAGGACCCGTGCCACCCAGCTCTCTGGAGCAGCTCTGGCACCAGGACCCAGAGGGCGGGGGGACGGGAAACGGGGCTGCCACTCACCGAAAGAATGGCCTCTTTGATGTGGGCATCCCGCTGGTCCTTCCTGAGCGTGGCCCCGGTGAGCGGGCACGTGAAGCACACGCTGGGCACCGCCAGATGGGCTGAGCCTTCCTCTTTGGCCTCGGGCACCTGGGGGGGTGGGGGTGCAGGCGGCTGAGCCCCCCTGGTCCCGACGCCACCCCCTCTGCTTGTTAGCGCTGGGACACCCTGGCCCTGCTCCGGAGCCCCTCCCAGGCCGCCTTCTGCTCTGTAAAATGGCTCTGCAGGGCCAGCTCACAACTAAACGACGGGAACAGAAAGCGTGTGGCGGCTTTGGACGCGGGGCGAATGCTCAGTGGTGCCTGCTGTTCGCGGTCCCCTGATCTCGTGAGGAGGCGGCCACGGTGGGCGAGTCAGGAGTCAGTGTGCCCTAGTTGAGTCCAGGCCGCTCTCTGGACCTCCGTCCCTAGGCACTGTCTAGAGCCTCCTCCGTTCTAAAACGCAGTGAGACCTCGAGGGTCAGGCTGCTCAGAACACCCTTTCTGCCAAGCTCTCCTTTAAAGCCCACCTCCACCAGCAAGGCCCCCCTGATGACACCAGTCTCCGGACAGCCCCCCCACCTCCCGAGAAAACAGCTGAGGGCAGGAGTTGAGCGTGAAGGTCGCAGTCAACCCCACCTTCAAACCACAGCCTGCCTCCACTGTTCCAGGCGGGGTTCCCCTAAACTGCCTTTGTGCACAAGGCCAGACGTGACCTCTGTCCACCCTGACATCTCCTCTGTGTCCCCCACCCCAGCATCATGTGCTTCCAGCCCAGCGCTGGGCACCCGGCTGGTAATGAGAAAATGGCCAATTAGACCAGTGCGGGCGAGAATCAGCTCCCTGCTCCAGGATTCCCCTCGGGTGTCCCACTGCCCCGCAGATGTCGTTACCGTGTTGGTCCCCGGGGCCTCTGTGCTCCCGCTGACAGTCGCTTCAGCTCGAAGTTCCTTTCTCACTGGAGACAGGACAGAGATGAGCAGGTGTAGGCCCTGCTCTGTCCCCAGGCACACACCCGAGACCGGAGTGGGTCAAGTTCGAGTCCTTCCCCCACTCAGGCCCCCCTGACTGAGCCACCTCCCCCTGCCCCTAGGCTTCCCCTGATGGCCTGGTGACCCCTGTCTCGGCTCCCTTCTCCCCTCCTCAGCCTTCCAGACCCCAGCACCCTTGCACCTTTCCACCCTGCACTCCCCTCCACCCCAACGACTTGAAACTTTAAAGTCCCCAAAGTTGCTGGTCACGTAACTATTTCTCTCCAGGGCCAAGCACAGGTCTCGCTCACCCTGGTTCCGGATGGACTCCTGCGACGTGGGGCCCCGGGACCTTGGCTGCTTTTGTTCAAGCCGGGCCAGGGCTGCCGCGGCCGCCATCTGGGCCTCATCAGTGGGTCCCTGGCGGGGTTGCCGCAGTGCTGGCTGGTTGGGTTTTTCTTTGGGGGCCCTCTCCCTGGAGAGAGGCAGAGGAAAAGTGAGGTGACACGGGGTCAGACAGAAAAGCCTCTGTCCCTCTCCCACTTCTGCTCCATCAGACAGACCCGACCCTCTTTCCCAGGGGCCACCTGCAGCCACTAGATGGTTCTATCACAGAAGAGCCCCTGGGGGCAGATGGCAGCTCTGCTCCCGGCTCTACCCCTGGGGGCAAGTCCTGCACGGGCCTGGGCCTCAGGGTCATGGCGGCTAAACAAGAGTAATGGCAGCCCCACCCACCCGGGCCACCACAGCGCAGCAGTGAGAAGGCACCCCATTGCCTTCAGGAGCCGAGGAGACTCAAAGGTGTCACTCCTCTCCTCCATCCCTCCCCTGAGCAAGATCGACCCTGCCAATTTACGGTAGCCAGGCCCCGAAGCTTCATTTAGGGAGCACCTACAGTCTGCCCGGCAGTATGCCAGGTCACACGGCAGGTGCTGGGTTTGCGCTCGCCTCCCCCTGGGGAAACAAGCACGGGATGCGTGCTCCCGGATCTACATGGCACAGAAGTGACCTGGCCCTCCCCTGCGGAGAAGGCCCTCCTCACACCCTGCTCTGATTCACTTGCCTTGCCTCCTTCCCTCAAGACCTTCTCCCGACCCCAGGACTTTCTGAGCAGCCAAGGCTCTGGGTCCGCGGCCTCACTCCTGCCCCGCTCAGATACACAGGCTTTCCATGGCCCAAGGCCTCTGGGACCTGCTTCCTGCCCATCCCTGCCCCTCTGCCCACAGCTGACAACCTCACGTTGAAGAAAAGACGGATCACGTAGCCCCACCCTAGCCCCATGTGACATTTAGTTCTATAAAAACACCTGTTTTCAAGACACCTTACTTGCTCTACCGAAGGCTCCACTGGGCAGCCACAGGGATCCTTCTAAAACCTAAGCCAAAGCTTGTCACTCCTGCACCAAGCCCTTCCACCACACGCACAACACAGTCCTAAAGCCTCCCCGGCCTGTAGGCCCTTCACACCTCTCAATCTACACCGCTTTCCTGCTGTTGCTTCCACAGGCCCAACTGGCTCCTACCACAGGGCCTTTGCGCTTTCTGCACTTTCTGCCCAGAAAGTTCTGATGTTCTGTCTGCATGTGGGATGAGGAAAGGAGGTCTGGGAGTGGGTGGGGCTGCTTCAGAGTGAGAGAGGGAGAGAGTGAGTGAGTGAGTGAGTGAGTGTGTGTGTGTGTGTGTGTGTGTGAAGATTGAATTTCATGGCTGAACTTCACCTCCTCTGGCTCTCGGCTCAAAGGTCTCCTTCCCACGGAGGGGTTCCGGGATGCCCTAACAGTCCCCCAAATCACTTGTTATCTCCTGATCCAGCGTATTTTTCTTCACGGCCCTGAGTACCTGACCTCTCACCACACGTGTGCTGGTTTATCCGTCCGTATCTCCCCACTGGACGCGGAGCCCCGAGACAGCAGAGACCTTCTCTTATGCATGACACCCACGACAGCACTTGTCACACACCCCGAACCCCCAGTCTTGCCCCAAGCATGTCACAGAAGCCTGGATCTCCAGGCGACTTCCCTCTTTTCTCCTCCCAGGCCTCTGGTCTGACACAGCCGTCACCCACACGGCCCCTACCTCCTTCCTGTCACGCTCAGTCCCAGCTGCACCAGCCCCCACCTCTGCCCACTACTTGTCGAACAAATGAATGGACCCCCTTGTCTGGTCCACCCCTTCTCCCTGGCCCTCTCTTAAGCTACCCTCCTCTCTCAGGCTCCCAGGACCTGATTCGGTCTCTACTGGGCTTCCCTCCCTGACTCAGGAACTTGGCCCTAGTGGGCCTCCTTCGCCCCACTCCTAGGAACCCCCAATCCCCATGACGGAGGCCCTGACGTCACGTACCCACTCTCCCTCACCCACCCCCCGCTGCCTCATGATTCCCTTCCTGCCGCCTCCCTGCCTACCGTCACTGCCCACCTCTTCACAAACCCTTCCGTTAGTCCCTCCAGATGCCACCCAGGACTGACATCTTTCTTCAGCCACTCCCCTTCCTAGACCCCACCCAGTCCCCAAAGCCCCTGCCCCCTCTACACTTCCTTTGCTCATCCCAGCCCACCAGAGCCCTCCGTCTCCCGTCCTCCCATGCTCCAGCTCTTCACACTCCTCCCCGCCGAGTCTCCAGACTTGCCCCTGGCCCTTCTCTTCTCCGAGTCCTCCCCAGACGATCCACAGTGGCCTGGATGTGCACTCCACTGGCCTTCCCTCTTCTACCCTCTCCTCCCGGGTCGCCCTCAGGACCTCCCTTCTGACTCAACCTTCGCCCACAAGGTACCCATCTCCTCCCTGTCACGGATGCCTCCAGCCCCCCACCTCCATCACCACCCTGCCTCCATTCCCCTCCCAGACCTTCCTAAGCCGCTCCGACCCCCGCGCCCCCAATTCACCGAGACCTGTTCTGACCCCGCTTCAGTCTCCCTGGCCCTAACCTCACTTACCCCGTCCTCCCTCACGCTCCAGAACCAGGGCCCAGACCCCCATCGCCATGGATGCTAAGCTTCAGCACTCTTTACGACCCCAGCTGTACTTGCTTCTCCCGGCTTTGTGTGCAATCTGTGAACACCTAGATTCCTCCAAACCTAGGCGACGCCCCTTCGGGGCCCCTTTCCAGTCCACATGTCCCCCTACGGTTTCTCCACTGACCCCCATCTCTCTGCACCCCGCCCCCTAGCTCCCGCCTCCAGCCCCGCCCCCCGGGCCTCGCCTCCCACCCCGCCCCGCCCCCGGAGGCTACCCCTCCCCCTTCTCCCACCCTCGCCCCCCCCGTACCCCGCCCCCAGAGATCTCTCCCCACCCCCAGACGCTCAGACGCCCCTCCCCGCCCCTAGCCCTCTCTGGTCTCCCTGTCCCGTCCTTGCTCTCGGATCTCAAGCCTCAGCGCCGGTCACATACCCCACGGACTCCGTGAGCTTCTGACCAGGTCCCGCGCTCTTGAACTTGATGTCAGCTTTGATCTCCTGGAAGAATTTCTTCATGGTGGCGGCGGGCCCGGCGGCTGGGGGCCGCGGGGGGCGGGGGGCGCAGGGCCCAGTCGGGGTGGGGCCTGCAGGAGCCAACAACCGGAAAGAAAATACCTCGTTCCCGGAAGTCCCGCCTTCAGGATGCCCCCCCCACGTGACAATCGGCCGGGGGTGCCTCTCTGGCTCTCTGCGCCTCGCTGGCCGGCGGCGGCCGCTCTGCACCCTCGGGCCGCGTCTCGGTGCTTTTTCCGGACTCCGTTGCCAGGGGCGACGAGCGCGCTTCCCGCTGGAGGCTGCGCCGCGTTCCCCCAAGCGATGAACGAACGGATAGGGCGAGACCGGCCCACCGAACTTGGTCCTGACCTGTTCCCTGCGGGAGAGCCTTCCCTGACTTCCGCGCGCAGTTCAGTGTGGGGGCGGTCAAGGCCGTAGCGACCGTCCCCGTGCCCGGCGCCAGTGGTTCTCTCGGACACACGTGCTGGGGCACGTGGGAGAGGGCGCACGAGCGAGGACCTGGGGACCCACGGTGGCGCATCCCCACGGGGCTTGGGCCAGGGAGCACTAACGCCATCCTGAGGGCCTTCACAGGACTTCGGGAAGAAGCCGGTGCAGCCCAAACTAACCTTGCAGAGCTTTGGTTTCCTGGGAAGTGGGGATAAGACTGGCACCCACCTCGTAGGACCCCATTGTAAAGGTCACGATGCCGTCAGAAATCTTTCAATAAATGTCAGACGTTATAATGACTTGCTCTTTTCATATCTGAGAGTCGGCTCTGTACCAGCAGGGAAGAAAACACAAATTCCCTGACCTCGCAGACCTCATGGTGTTTTCGATGGGGTTGGGAAGAAAGACAAGGCGATAAGTAAAGACTGTGCCACAGCAGATGGTGTTAAGGGCTCGAGAGAAACGGTGGACGTTGGGACCAAGGGAGGGCGGGTGGGGACAGATTGCAGCATCACTTAAGGGGGGCAGGCGCAGGAAAAGGGGGTGCATTTGTGAGACCACGGGGGAAATGCCGATGTGTCTGGGCATCACATAATATAAAGGAACTACAGTTACTTTTTTAGGCGTGAGAAAAGGCACGGTGGTAGCTTCGGTTCATCCGAGGTTTTTTGTTTTCTCTTTTGACCTCTTTCATCCATTTCTCCCAGCCCCCTGCCTCAGGCAACCCACCATGGGCTCTCCTTATCTATAAGCTTGGTGGGGTTCTTCTTGTTTCTTCTTACTTTCTTTGTTTAGATTCCACATATAAGAGAGATCCTACACTGTTTGCTTTTCTCTGCCTGACTTGTTTCACTTAATGCCCTTGAGGTCGGTCCACGTTGTCACAAGTGGCAAGATTTCATTCTTTTTTTTGGCAGAGTCATATTTCATTGTATATCCATACCACCTCTTCTTTATCCATTCGTCCTTCGGTGGGCACTTGGGTTGTTTCCATAGATGGCCGTTGTGAATCGTGCTGCAATGAACATGGGGGTTGCACATATCTTTTCCAATTAGTGTTTGTTTTCTTTCTTCAGCTACTCAGAGGTGTAATTGTTGGGTCGCAATACTTCTATTTTTTTTTTTAATTTTTAGAAGATTTTATTTATTTATTTATTTATTTATTTATTTATTTATTTATTTATTTGACCGAGGATGAGAGAGGGATGAGCAGACTCTGTGCCAAGCTTGGAGCCAACTCAGGGCTCCATCCCACAATCCTGAGATCATGCCCTGAGCCGAAACCAAGAGTCAGACACTCACTCAACCAACTAAACCACCCAGGCGCCCCTGGTGCTTCTATTTTTAATATTTTGAGGGACCTTTACACTGTTTTCCACAGTGGCTATACCAATTTACATTCCCACCAACAGTGCATAAGCGTTCCTATTTCTCCACATCCTCACAACACTTGTTTGTCTCTTTAATAATAGCCATTTTAACAGGTATCAGGTGATATTTTGTGGTTTCGATTTGCATTTTCCTAATAATTAGTTGATCACCTTTTCATGTACCTGTTGGCCATCTATGTTTTCTTTGGGAAAATGTCTTCAGATGGAGGAAGGAGCCCTGAGCCAAGGAATGGAGGCAGCTTCTAGAAGCTGGAAAAAGCAAGGAAACGGTTTCTCCCCTAGGGCCTCCAGAAGGAGCACAATTTGGGCAACACATGAATTTTAGCTCAATGAGACTCATTTTGGACTTCTGACCTCCAAAATGGTAAAAATAAATTTGCATTATTTGAAGCCACTAAGTTTGTGGTAATTTGTTTCCTAAACAATAGGTAAGGAAAGCAACCCCTAGGCTGTACGACCCTAAGGATGAGTACTGATATTTCTCACCAATTGATAGGGGAGATTGTAAAGTTCGAAACACACTTGTCCATACCCCCACAGCTTGCAGAGAGAAGATTCAACCCCAGGGCCAGCAGATCTAATGACACTTCAGTGAGGTGCTTCTCAAGTCATAATGCACACTGGAGTCCCACGGAGAGCTTGTTTAAATGTACATTCTGAGGCATAGGTCTTGAGTGGGCTATGAATCTGCATCCCCATCCTCCCACCTCCCAGCCCCGGGTGAGAATGCAGGAGTCTGGGCTAGGAGGACTGGAACTTCCCCTGGCACTGAGCCGGCCAGAACAGATGGATATGTTACTCTTACAGCTCAGGTGGGGAGAAGCTCTTGGGTAAGTAGAATCCAACACTCGGCGCGGGAGGGGGGGGGTGCTACCCCACTGCCTCAGTTTCCCCATCTGGAAAGCAGGGATGACAAATAACTAACATGGGAATGAAATTAACTATGTTCATAACATACTACATAACGCGGGGCGCCTGGGTGGCTCAGTCGTTGGGCGTCTGCCTTCGGCTCACGTCACGATGCCAGGGTCCTCCAGATGGAGACCTGAGTTGGGCTCCCTGTTCGGTGGGGGGCCTGCTTCTCCCTCTCCCACTCCCCCTGCTTGTGTTCCCTCTCTCTCTGTCTCTCTCTCTGTCAAATCAATAAAATCTTAAACTAACAAACAAACATACTACATAATGCAGCCTGGGGGTACCTGCCTGGCTCAGTTGGTGGAGTGTGCAACTCTCGGTCTCGGGGTCGTGAGCTCAAGCCCCACATTGCAGGTAGAGGTTACTTAAAAATAATAATAATAATAATAATAATAATAGGGGTGCCTGGGTGGCTCGGTCACTCAAGCGTCTGCCTCTGGCTCAGGTCATGATCTCAGGATCCTGGGATGGAGCCCCACATCTGCTTCTCCATCTCCCTCTGCCCCTCACCTGCTTGTGCTCTCTCGCTCTCAAATAAATAAATAAATCTTATAAAAAGAAAAAAACATTTAAGGAAATGATTCAAAACGTTAGAAAAATGGGCACCTGGGTGGCTCAGTCTGTTAAGCTTCTGCCTTCGGCTCAGGTCATGATCCCAGGGTTCTGCCTGAGATTGAGCCCCGAGTGGGGCTCCCTACATCGGGCTCCCTGCTCGGCAGGAGAGTCGGCTTCTCCCTTTTCCTCTGCCCCTACCCCTGCTAGTGTTTTCTCTCTTGCTCACTCTCTCTCTCCAATGAATACATAAAATTTTTGAAAAAAGTTATAATAATAATAATGTGGCCTGGAGGGCTCCTGGGTGGCTCAGTTGGTTAAGCAACTGCCTTCGGCTCAGGTCATGATCCAGGAGTCCCGGGATCGAGCCCCACATCGGGCTCCCTGCTCAGCGGGGAGTCTGCTTCTCCCTCTGACCTTCCCCCCTCTCATGCTCTCTCTCTCTCTCTCTCTCATTCTCTCTCTCAAATAAATAAATAAAATCTTTAAAAAAAATAATGTGGCCTGGAACATACTGGCTGCTCAATAAATGTTACTGATTTTTTGAAGAATTTATTTTATTTTATTTATTTATTTATTTTAGATTATTTATTTATTTATTTGACACAGAGAGAGACAGTGAGAGAGGGAACACAAGCAGGGGGAGTGGGAGAGGGAGAAGCAGGCTTCCCGTTGAGCAGGGAGCCCAACGTGGGGCTCGATCCCAGGACCCTGGGATCATGACCTGAGCCAAGGGCAGACGCTTAACGACTGAGGCACCCAGGCACCCCTTATTTTTATTTTATTAAAGATTTTATTTTTAAGTGATCTCTACACCCAACGTGTGGCTTGAACTCATGACCCTGAGATCAAGAATCACAGGCTCCACTCACTGAGCTAGGCTGGTGCCCCTAAATGTTACTTATCATTGTACTTGGCTAAGTGGGTAGTAAATATTCCCTCATGATAGTCCCCCAGTAAGCTGGGGACCAAGCCTGTAGCACACAGTAGGTGCTCAGACCACCTGCTGGTTAGAGGGGGCTGTGTTTTGCCGATCTGGGAGGGCAGTGGTGGTGCCAGGCCCCATTTCTTAGGGAACAGGAAGTAACTTTAGGGAACAGGAAGTAACCTCCTCAGGTGATGATTAACTGCTCAACCACTGTCTTCACTGGCCTCTGGTCTGGCAGGAAGACATGGATCCTCTCCTGCCTCGGCCTGCCACTTTGCGGGTCCCTCCCCACCTTCTGGGAGCATGCTGGCCTCAGCTTTCATCAAAGCTTCATCATTTCCTAGCTGCTCAATGTAGCTCAATGAGGTCTGGGCAGGGAGTCTGGTTTTCTGCCCTGGTTCAAGGTCCAGGGGAAATGTATGCACAGAATCAGGAGGGCTTTGGAAAGGGGGACCTGCAGACATGAAATCTGAGCCCCTGGACTCCCTGTCTGACCTCAGGCAAGGCATGCCCCCCTCTGGGCCTCTGTCTCTCTACCTACCTAATTCAGGCCCCTCCTCACCATTTTCCTCGTTCCTTGTTCAACTTCCACACTTGTCTCCTGTGTGATTTAGCAAATATAAGATATAGGACACCCCTTAGATCTGAATTTTTGATAAACAAATATTGTAATGGTATCTATATAACATTGAGTTACAATTTTAACCATTTTAAGGAACTATGAATCAGGTATTTCTATTTGATGATATTTATTATTAATTTTTACTGTCGTAAAATATACGTAACATAAAATTTACACTTTCAACCATTTTTAAGTGCACAGCTCAGCGGCATGAGGCACACTCACACTGTTCTGCAACCACCCCACCCTCTGTCTCCAGA